GCTTTGACATTCTTACTTTGAATGGGGATCTGCAGCTTTTCCAGCCTAGAACAGAGTATAGAAAAGTGAGAAATAGGGCAGCTAATGCCTCCCAGATCTAGACAGTGCATTCCCCTTAAATGTTCCCAAGCAACATTTCCCAAATGTTGCTTGGGAAAGCAAGTGCTGGAAAGCTCAATTCTTCCTCCAAAACCAAAGAATATATTGCTTTCTTAGAGATCAATGTCTCCTGCCTATATTGTGAGCCCCTAAACTAAACAGCTGCTTTATTTAGACCAGTATTTATCAATTTTGGTACCTTTAAGTTCTGTGGACTTCAACTCTTAGAATTCCCCAGTCACATGAAGTCCACAGATCTTAAAGACATTGAAGTTGAGAAATACTGATTCAGGCTCTGTTCATCCAACACACTGAGCCACAAACTAGGCAACCATATTTTAGCTCAACATGTTATGTAATCACTTAGCCTGCATGATTACTTTAGAATTAAAAGTGTCATGCAAACCCCAAAAAGGAGAAACATTTAACACACACTGTATAAATATTACACAAACACAGCCAAAATCTTTCTCAGCTGCAGGGCAAAGGGGCGTGATTCTATACTTAAAGAAAGTATTGGTTTAAGAAAACTATGAAGGTTGTTGAAACTTAAAAAAATGGGTGGTGATGAGGGGGAGAAATAATACAGTAGCCTTCTGGCCATATTATTTACTATTCCATTTTATCCCCACAACTTCTTCTGAAGTAGACTGAGCTGAGATGCAACAAACTTATGAACATTATTAAGTGGGAAATGCAAACCTGAATCTCCCCTATCCAAGTCCAAAATTTTAAATATTACTGAGTAGTTTGGGTCAAGGGTGGGCTGCTCTCAGTTATCACAGAGAGTAAATAAAGAACTAGAATTCAAACACTAATATAAAATCCAGCTTACATACCCAAATTTGTAATGTTGCTTCTTTCTTTCCCGTGTTCTCATTTGTTTTCTTCCTTTCTTCAAGAAAGAGTCTGCTGATATCTTCACTGGTATCTGGATAACGTGGTATTTTCAAATTTAGCAGTTCTGCTTCCACTCCCAGTCCAAATGTGTGATACAAAGATACATTACCCCTTCTTACAATGAAGTATATCTGTTCAGCACAATTCTAAGCATGTGCAAAGAATGTCTGTTACTCCAAGTCTCAATTGCTATGCTGCCTCTCTTTTTAAATATAAGTTCACTGCCTGGTTGCAAACGTTTATTAAAGCTTTTAAGAAATAGTTAAAAACTATATAAAGTAAGAAAAAGAGGGGGGGAAAGGAGATAAAAAAGTGCAAAGGCAAAGAAAGAAAATACAAAGTAGTTTCTGATTTTCTTTATAACAGTTACAAGTACAATTATAAAGTAACTCAATTTTTTCTATCATTTATCCTGTACAATCATTGAAACCATAAATCATAAGTTCATTTTTTCAGTTTCTTACAAATGTCTATAAAATGTTCATTTTCTCTAATCAAAGAAGTCAGTTTAGCCATCTCAGCAAGTTTTATCATCTTCACCAACCATTCCTCCATTTTTTCATTTGTTGTTTCAAATTTCAATAAAATTTTATACATATTAGCAATAACATTTTCATAATTGTATACAATTCTATTTCAAACTCAGTCTTGCAATGCTCAAAACCATTAATTATTTTATCTACTTTAAGTCTTTCTAATAATTGTAAATAAGAAAACCATAAGAGCTGTGGTGGCCCACTGGTTAGAATGCAGTACTGCAGGCTAATTATGCTGACTGCACGCTGCCAGCAGTTCGGCAGTTCAATTCTCACTGGCTCAAGGTTGACTCAGCCTTCCATCCTTCCAAGATCAGTAAAATGAGGACCCAGATTGTTGAGGGCAACATGCTGACTCTGTAAATTGCTTAGAAAGGGCTGTAAAGCATTGTGAAGCGGTATATAAGTCTAAGTGCCATTGCTACTGACAAGCATATCCATCTGCTACCAGATCATCTCTTGATTTTATCTTACATTTCCCTTGACAAAAATCTAGTATCTCATGATAACTTAGCCATTTATGTTTCCTTATTATTTCACAAGTATAAAATGCCTCTTGTACTGAGAGCAACAAAAGTGTTTTGGGGTACAATTTAGGTAAATTAAAAGCATGTAATACATCAGCAGGGTTTAAGAGTAATAGACAGAAGATGAGGATGTTAACAAGAAAATGAAAATACAAGAAGAAATAAAATTGTAATAAAACAGATTTTAAGATTAAAATACTTGTGTATCACTATGTCAAATATGAACTGTATGTTATTTGAAATTATTTTAAGACACTGAATAAATTTACAAAAATATATTAAGACAGGAAAAATTACAACTGCCTTTGTTGACAAGAATTTCTGTGATTAAAATTAATGTTTTGCCTAGAATGTTATTTTGATTTCAGACAATTCCTGTTTTGTCTGAAATGATGCATATTTAAACAATGGCAGAAAGATATACTGTATCTAAATTTGTATGACAGAGAGGGGAAACATTACCTTAAATATAAAATATTACAAGATATGAAGGAGAGATCATTGGGTTTACCTGATATGAAATTGTACTCTGCAGCTTGTTGCTTGGTTTAGATGAAATAATGAGTTTTGCTGAGAAATAGACTTTTGGAGTTAGAACCTCAGATTTGGATGGCAATATTTATTGGTATAATTAAGTTAAGGTTAATATAGATGTTCAAAATCTATATTATATTAGACTCATCATAATGAGAATATGGAATAGATACAAAGTTTTCATGCCTTCTCCAAGCAACTATCTAAGGTCTGATGCTTAATCAAGAATAAAAATAATTTGGTGGTGATCAGTACTTCTATGTAAGCTACAGTATGCTTCTTAGTCTTGCATTATAAAATCACAGACCAAAATTACTTCCAGACCAATTAGTACACAATGAAGCTAGGCTGCAAGAATACCATTTCTGTAAATTGGTAACACAGAAGACAAAAACATCAAATACTTCCTGAAAGGAGCTCTGGCTATCTGACTTATGAATCAGCAGGGAAAATTATCACAATGGAGGCCATGTCACTGTTACCTTAGCAACCTGTCTCAGCCATAAGTATTTTTTATGGCTTTAAGTCTTTCAGCCTGTTTTATTTACCTTCTTGCTTCTGAGCTGGGCTAGAATTGCTTGGCTGCTCAGTGTTCAGTTTATAGAACTGGAAGGTCATGCCATATAATGGGAAAGGCTCCATAAAATAATGTATGACAGTACCAATAAGGATTCAGTTGCACCAAGAACAACCACAGTGCTGCTTCTGTATCATAAAGCTCTTTTTATATGTAATAACAACACATCTTTCTATAGAGGGTTATATGTATGGATAAAAGTTGGAAAATTTTACTCTCGTACTATACTGCTCTAGTTATTACTGATTTGGAGACCCTGCTCTGTCAGACATTATACAAGAACCTCATAATTTGATATTGGTATATCACACAGCATCTAACGCAATGCATGTTCAGGGCTGGGCTGGAAAATGATAGCCCCCTTCCACTGTTGCTTCTATCAATCAGCATTTAAAGAACACTGCCTACAATAAAGAAAGTAGCTAATAGCTAATGGTAGCCTCATCATCCCACTGTTGCTGACAATGAATTCCTGTTTAGGTTCTTATTTTCTTTTGTTGGTCCTGTCTCCCTGCATTAGTTTCAAAGAGCTTCATTAGGAACAATCTAATTCCACATAGAAGACTCCCTTGTCCTCCGTCCTTGATAATAGTATCAGCTTCAGATTTGGCAAAACAAATTGTGAAAGAGAAAATATAATTAAACACAGTCATCCCCACAATTAACCCACTTGTGTTGCCACAGCAAAATGCAGGAATTAGTACTCCTTCAATCCATATATATTCTCAAAAGCGTCCAGTTGTAGACTGCATGGCACAGAATATACAGCAAATGTGAGAATTTAAATAAAAAGTGTACATTGTACAAAGGAACACTTTATATAAACTGTCTGTCTCCAGAATATGCAACCTTTTACATAATGCTTTAATATAAAGCAGTACTTCTCAGCCTTGACAAGATGTCTCATCTTCAACTCTCAGAATTTCCAGCATGCTGGAAGGTAGAGAAACACCAATAAAATTCTGCCCAGTTCGCCTTTTTTCACTTGAAAGCTTCGTCTTAACAATCCAATTTTATTTTATTTTTAAACATGTGGATGTAAGAGTACTAAAAGTAAGTACTCTTTGCTTTTATTTTTAGTCAGCAAAATTTTGGCAAAATCTTTAGTATAACCCAATACCAGTTCTCTACTTCATGGGGCCACTATATACATCTGCAGATAATTTTCATGATTTCGGTATTTAAATGCATACGTGGCTTCAGTAGGCGCCACAGTTTCCTCCCTCTTCTTGTCACCATGCTATTGATGGAGACTTCTTAAATAAGACTTCTTAAAATCTGAAAGCAGTAAATCTTCCGTTCGCCTAATATGGACGCAGGAACCCGAATAGCTTGCTAACATTACGGGGCGATGCAAAGGTCTAGAGTCTACACCGCTAGATGGCAGTTTAGAGTTTTATGTTGCCAATCCTGATCCAATATTTTAATTTATTAACTCCTTGAACAACTTGGATTTCACCTCTTCTCTTTGCCAGACTTTGGTATAAATTGACTGCAAACGTTCCAGAAGATAGTTTTACCCTGCCCTTTTGCTGTTTCTAAATTCCTCTAATTCTCTTTTCAGAAATTTCGGGTAGTATTCCTATTGCTTGAGAGTCAATATTCCAGATAGTCTTCTTCCATCGTTCGATTGCAACAACAACAACAACAATAATAATGCTCGCTTTTCATTGGGTTTACGACCCCGCCTTCTATCTTCCTATTGGCAATGTTGTGATCAAAGTGCCGTGGTCAGAGAAATTGGGATTGAGTACTGCGGCAATATTTCTGATTGGAGTTAAGACATTTTCCCCGCCCCTCAATTTCTGACGAAAGAAGGTAAAGACAGCTTTGAATTTTAGAGTCTGACCGCTTCGCTTCTTTTCGCGCATGCGCTTTGTAAATGAAATGTGACCTTAATGTTTAGGTTCAGGGGTCTTCTGTGTCTTCGTGCTCCGAGTCCAATCAGCCCTCGTAGTTCGGGTCAAGTTCAAAAATCTTCTCATTCCATGGATTTAGGATCTCTTCGGAAAAACTATAGGGACGATGAAGAGGTGAGATATAAATGTAGTCCAAGGGTTCCGCATAGGGAAAAGGTTAGCAAGGGATTGGCGATAGTCTCTGAATTTGTGCAGAATGCGTGGTGTTATTTGCAGTAGTAATCTTGGGATCTGCTTTCAGGACCGATGTTTTGTTCTGCAAAATATAATAACGAGATACTAAAGATGACATTTTACAGAGTACCTTTTCTTTAGTAGGAGATCTGATCTCAGGAATGGTTCTGCCGGATAAATGGGTCTTGGGCGCAGGATATCGAGGATCGCATACAACCATGTCATAGCTTTGCAGTAGTAAAATAAAGAGATGAAGTAATTAAAGCAAATACTGTGGGTCAAATTAAAATGGCTGAGGAGATATGTATCTTTCAAATGTTTGGATAGAAACTAACTCCTGAAAGATTGCTTTTTAGTTAAAATAAGAATGAGAAGGTTGGGTGTCAAATGTGTAGAGATTGAACAAGGATGTATAAGTGGAAATGTTTGAGCACAGTTACAACTGAAAGAGATAGCAATAACTGCAGGTTGTGATAAGAAAAGCTAAAGAGGGAGCAGAGGTGCTGCTAGATAATTTTAGGTTTGGGACTGAATAACTTAATGGGAGAAAAATCTTTAAACCGCTTTGTGCATTTTTTTCTGTTATGAAAGACTCAGTTCCCCTTTTCTTTTGAACCACTTTCCTTGTCACTTTATAATTGCTTCTATATTTCCTTGTAAACAACAAAAAAAGTATGTTTCTTAGATTTTTATCATGCCTTTTTTCATATACAACTCAAAGTGACAAAATTGCTAATACTCCGTTTTCCTCTTATTTTCCCCACAACAACTCTATGAGATGAATTTTATTGAGAGAGAATGAGTTACCCAGCCTGTTTTTTATGCCTAAAGCAAGAATAGTTAGTCTCTTAGATTCTAGGCCAACACCTTAACTACTTTAGCAAAGTTTCATTTTCTTGTAGAAGATGAGATTATAGAAAATTATAGGAACTTGTCAATTGTAACGGCGGGGGGGGGGGCTGTTTAGATTTTGGATATCTTGACATCACTGGAAAGCACATACTGTATCAAAATAGAAGAAGCAGTGGGAATGGATGAAAGAAGATAGACCAGCCTCATTTCAAGGAAAAGAAAAATGTGGGTTAGACAGCATCATCACCAGATGGATCCGTAGCTGGCTGACCGGCCATACTCAGCGTGTGGTCCTCAATGGAACTGCATCTACCATGGAGGGAAGTGTGTAGTGGGGTGCCCCAGGGCTCTGTTCTAGGCCCAGTGCTCTTCAACATCTTCATCAATGATTTGGACGAGGGGATAGATGGGGAACTCATCAAATTTGCAGATGACATCAATTTGGCAGGAATAGCCAACACTCCAGAAGACAGGCTTAAGATACAGGAGGACCTGGACAAACTTGAACACTGGGTGCTATCTAACAAAATGAAATTCAATGGTAAAAAAAGTAAGGTTCTACATTTAGGTAAGAAAAACCAAATAGACAGCTATAGTATAGGGAGTACCTTGCTCAATAGTAGTAACTGTGAGAGGGATCTCGGAGTCCTAGTAGACAATTACTTAAATATGAGCCAGCAGTGTGCTGCAGCTGCCAAAAAAGCCAACACAGTGCTGGGCTGCATTAACAGAGGGACAGAATCAAGATCACGTGAAGTATTAATACCACTTTACAATGCCTTGGTAAGGCCACACTTGGAATACTGCATCCAGTTTTGGTCACCACAATGTAAAAAAGATGCTGAGACTCTAGAAAGAGTACAGAGAAGAGCAACAAAGAATATTAGGGGACTGGAGGCTAAAACATATAAGGAACAGTTGCTGGAATTGGGTACGTCTAGTTTAACGAAGAGGACGAGGGGGGACATGATAGCAGTGTTCCAATATCTCAGGGGCTGCCACAAAGAAGAGGGGGGTCAAGCTATTTTCCAAAGTGTCTGAAGGCAGGACAAGAAGCAACGGGTGGAAATTGATCAAGGAGAGAAGCAACTTAGAACTAAGGAGAAACTTTCTGATAGTTAGAACAATTAACCAATGGAACATCCTGCCTCCAGAAGCGGTGGATGCTCCAACACTGGAAGTTTTTAAGAAGAGACTGGACAGCCATTTGTCTGAAATGGTGTAGGGTTCCTGCCTGAGCAGGGGTTGGACTCGATGACCTCCAAGGTCCCTTCCAACTTTTTTATTATTATGGATCATCGCACAGTCAGCCAGATATTCAGACTGGATTTGACATTTTGTCCACCTATCGAGTCCTTACCCAGGACCTGGGATAGGTAGATGTGGATGTTTGATGGTATTACAAGTATTGTCGCAGGATGGAAGCAGTTCCTAGTAAGGCCGCCTTTTGCAATTGACTAATAGCGAATTTGTCAATGCCAATGGTGTTCAAGTGGTGCTCCAGTTGTTTTGGGATTGCACCCAAGGAGCCTATTACTATTGGTATTACCCTTGCTTGCTTTTGCCACAGTCTTTCTATTTCTATTTGTAGGTCTTTGTATTTTGTTATCTTCTCCAGTTCTTTCTCTTCTATTCTGCTGTCTCCAGGCACTGCCACGTCCACTATCCAGACTTTTTTGTCTTTCTTATCGACAATTGTTAAGTCTGGGGTGTTATGTTGCAGGTGCTTGTCTGTTTGAATTCTGAAGTCCCAGAGCAGTTTAATTTTATCATTTTCTATGACTTTCTCTATTTTATGATCCCACCAGTTTTTGCTTACAGGCAAATGATATTTTTTGCAGATCTTCCAATGCACCATTGTTGCTACTTTGTCATGCCGCTGCTTGTAATCAGTCTGTGCAATCTTCTTGCAACAGCTTACCAAGTGGTCCACTGTTTCTTCAGCTTCTTTGCATAGGCGGCACTTACTGTCTGTTGCTGTCTTCTCAATTTTGACTTTATTTGCATTTGTCCTTAAGGCTTGGTCTTGTGCAGCCAGAATTAGTCCCTCGGTCTCTTTCTTCAATTTTCCTGCTCTTAGCCATTGCCAGGTCTTGTTATTATCTGCTTTCCTAGCTATTTTTTTTTAATGTATTGGCCATGTAGTGCTTTGTCTTCCCATGCCTCTATTCTGTTCTTCATTTGGTCTTTCTTGTAGGCCAGTTTGGTCTATCCAGTAGTCAGTAAGCCTTCCTGATATACTAATTTCAGTGCATCTTCATCATTGTTCTTCAGATATTCTTCCAAAGCCATTTTTTCTTCTTCTATTATTATTATTATTATTATTATTATTATTATTATTATTATTATTATTATTAAAGGGAATCGGTACTTGAGATGGAAAGGGATTTCTAAACACATACATGCTTTCTACTTCCATCCCTCTAGGCCTTTGAGGAGAAACATCTCACCTCCCTTAATCCCATTAAACAATTCTCTGCATGGTTTGAAGAGGCCATGAAGTGTCCCTCTATTGGAGAAGTCAATGCTATGTGTTTAGCCACTTGTACCAGGTAAGGTTTGCATCCTCATGGCTTGTCTTTCTGCTGCTTTATTATCTATCTGTGTTTTATATTTCTTTCTGTTTTCTGATTTTACCTCTTCTCAGGGAGGGGAGACCTTCTGCTCGGATGCTGCTTTTAAAGGGATTTAACGAGAAAGGCTTTCATTTCTTTACCAACCATGAGAGCCGGAAAGGAAGGGAACTGGTGAGTGTTGCCTTATGAAGAATAATTATTGTAGAAAGACTGAAGCTTATTTGCTGAAAGTCTTAGTTGTGTATGAAAATGATCTATGCATTGGGGACAGGAATGAGGAAGGGAAGCAATAATTTTGACAGAATTTTGCTCCAGTTATTGTGTGCGGTTTAAGGAAAGGTGAGAACTTTGCTTATTTTGATAGTTCTGCTTTTGTTAATCATGATTCCGTGAAGGCACTATGGAACATGCATGTCCAACCTTTTGGCTTGCTTGGGCTGCATTAGATGAAGAGGAATTACCTTGGGCATTTATAAAATATATAATATAATTAATGTATCTAAATCACAAGAGCGGCATGGTGGCCTAGTGGCTCCCAATTGCAAGGCTGAGAGTTCAATCCTAGTAGGGGCAGATGTTTCTCTCCTAGGGCCCAAAGAAAAAATGCTGCAAACTCCATGTAGGCATCAGGAAGGGCATCTGGCCACTAAATGCTGAGCTCCATCCAGTTGCCCTGACTCTACCCTAAATAGGGACTACAGGATCATAAAAAGGATGTTTTAATGTGTATAAATCACATGATAATGTTAAGAAGTTTATAATCTTGTGGCGCTGCATTACTAGCCATCCAGGGCCTCAAGAGGTCCAGAGGCCATGGGTTGGATATGCCTATTTAGATAGTTGGATGTAATGGTCTTACCAGAGCTTCCCCCATTTGTTATTATTGAAGTTGTGAAATTTATTTCTATTATTTTCGTAGTTTTACATCCCACATATGTCACAGCAGCCTTTCTGAGGCCTGCTGGGCTACAAATGCATTGGACTACAATTCTGTAATTTCCATCTTGGCTAGTGGCAATGGGAGTTGTCCAAATGTACTTGGAAAACACACAATGGGGAGTTATGCGTTGAGTAGGTGCTTACAATATTAAGAATTTCAATCACTTCTGTAGATGTTTGCTCTAGTTTCACTGATGCTAAACTTAAGTTGTGTGAGAGAAACATTTAAACATAATAACATGAGCATGGATGTATGGCTAACCAGTGGCCTTTAACTATACAATGCTGAAAGGAAGGAGGCTTCAGTAAAAGGACAAGCCCAGACATGTGCTGAGTCTAGGTCCAGCATCTCCTGTCTCTTTCTGGGTTGTAAAACCAGATACAAAAGAGTTATAGCACTATTGGAGGTATCACAGAAACCATTTCTTGTCTTTTGAATCCTTGCACTTTATAATAACTGCTGTTCTAAGTATCCTTAAGCTAAAAGAGCTGGACCCAGAGAATATTGTTTTTTAACAGCTAGGATTTTCCTGTTAGTGCAGAACAAACAAGGCAGGCAACGAGGAACAATAACTGAAGAAAGGCAAATACTGCGGAGTATATTCTATGTTCCTTCTTATGCTTATTAGCACAAGCCCTCCAGCAAAACAAAACAAAACAAAACAAAAACAAATAAATAAATAAATAAATAAATTATCATCTCGGTCTCATTTTTACAGATTTCAGAGTGTCTTTTATTCAAAGGACAATAATAATCCCCCCCCCAATTGTTTTGTATTGCTCTTTCCCCCATTATTTACAGGATTCCAACCCATTTGCTTCAATGGTCTTCTATTGGGAGCCTCTTAATCGCCAGGTAAAATGTGTATTTTATTTGACTATAACTGGCAAGGGAGAGAGAAGAATCTGGTAGTCACACTTGAACTTTTTGGAGGCTAAGACTTCAGGAAAGGTTATCACAGATTGTCCTTTCCATCTTACCTTTGTTTGTAGTTTCACTGTATAAAATGAAGACTTGAGCAGATGGTTAAATCTTGCTACAGCCAAGATTTGTTCTCTCTGATTTATTCAATGTGGAAGGTTGATTTCCCAATTAGGAAATTGCATTTGTGTTTCTAGAGCTGGAGATAGTAAATGTGGAGATAGTGATGAGACTGAAGTGATGATATTTGAGATCACTTCAGAATTTCTCAACCTGGTGCCAATGAAACCATCATTTAAGAGAAATGTGAGAAGAAGCTTCTTTTTACTCTTCTTGATCTGACCCGGGGAATCTGAAAATAGAGTAATGATTCTGCTGATTGAATCTAATGTTAGCTCTTCAGAAAGTGTATGGGACTAAAGGATTTTTTATTCTATCTTCCTTTGGCCTGAAAACATAACAAATCAAGAGATCATAACCATAATTGATAGACTGGAGCTTTGGAGTATGAATATATTGTTAGTTCATTTAGGGAATCTGTTTAGAAACAAGAGATATTTTTCGGTGGCACAATGGGTAGTCCTTGAGTTACAACCATTTGTTCAGGAGCAGTTCAAAATTATGGTGGTGCTGAATGTATGGTACTTACCCTAGTTCTTGAAATTAGGGCCACAGCAGTGGTCATGTGATCAAACTTTGGGCACCTGGCAGCCTGCTTCACTTATGACTTCAGGGATGTTTCTTCTCCCCCCCCCCGCCCCCAGCCTATCTCTCCCCTATCTCTGCTCTTTTGGTCCCCCTGCACTGTGCAGCCTCTGCCATCTTCCATTCCAGCATTCCCAACTGACCTTCCCATCTGACATAGCGTACCTGGCTTGGCCTTTTGTGAAGCAACTGCTGGGCCCCTTCATCCTATATGGCAGTTTCCTCGCAATGCCTGGAGAAGAAGGCTTCACATGACCAGCAGGAAGGAAGACTACAAAAGTCAGATGGGGCTACAGAGCAAAGGGGTGCTGGGACTGGGGTTTTACGCCACACTGTTGGGCTAGGACAGCTGAAGGTTCATACTAACAACTGGGCTGGGCTGAGAGTGGGGCTGCATCTTCTTGGGGCAGCTTTGGCTCAAGAGCTTCTTGCAGCCCCAAAGCCCAGATAGACCAAGAATCCCCTGAATCCCCAATGTGGCAAGATCCCCCAGAGCCATGGGTTTCTGGGGCTGCTTGCTGCCCTGCAAAACAGGATGTAGGATGGCCAGAAGGCCAGAGATGGCTGGGGGGCATAGGCAGTTTACAGGGGTTGAAGTAAGGGATGTAGTCCCTTACTTAGGAAGAAGAGAGGATTGAGGCTAATGACCAGTGGGATTCAGTTAACAGTGGCAACAAGGATTCCAAGATTATTGTTGCTAAATGATGTGGTCATGTGACATCAAGCTTTATTGATAGAAATTCTGGTTCCATTATCATTGTAACTAGAGAAGTATCTATAAAGATTAAAGCTTGATCTCAGTGGGTTTCCCTACTTAATCACGTAAGCTCTGGTATGGGAGAGGGCTTCATTCCCTTCTCTTTTAATTCGCAGTACTGAGAAAACTTGAGGAGAGCTATAATTTTAACCATACAGAAATCTCCCTGTCCTGTAATAGAAGCATACCCTTACTTTGCTTCTCTTTCACCTCTCGAACTGCACTTCCTACAGGTACGGATTGAAGGCTCTGTAGAAAGGCTTCCAGAGCAGGAATCAGAGAAATATTTTCATTCGCGTCCAAAAAGTAGTCAAATTGGGGCTGTTGTGAGCCGTCAAAGTACAGTGATTGCAGACAGAGAGGTGAGGAATGGTAGTGCTATATTTTTCAACTACACATTTTTGAGGGGGGAAAAACAAGACAACCAATACTGAAATATTTCTGCCTTTACATGTAGGATTACAGTACATTTTCCCCAATCACACATTCAGTCAGTCTCCTTAAATTTGTTTGCCATGCTTCTTTTCATTATAAACTTTTATAATAAGAGAGACAGTTTGGTGCAGTAGGGAAGCTGTTAGCCTACAAACGAGGAGACTCTGAATTCTAGTTCTCCCTTAGGCATTGAAAGCCAGCTGAGTGACTTTGGGCAGGTCATTCTTCCTCTTGGCCTAACCCCTCTCAGAGAGTTGAGGCTGTGAGAAGGATATATTTTTTAAAAATGGGATAAAAACTAATTATAATAAGCTTGAAAGATAATCCCAAAATCAAACTGGATGTACATCAAATGGATATAAATGCTGAGTTATTCAGATTGAATATTCTTCATCAGAATCATTGAATAATATTTTAAACATCAGTCTATGGGAAAATGATGAAATCTGAATCACTTTGCGATACCTTCGGTAATATGATAGCCTTCAGATATTATAACCTAAATAGTCCTTTATTGGTTGGATGGGAGTTATGTACAAAGCATGGATGATAGGTTGCCTACCTGTGCTTGTGTAGATAACCACTGTAACTCTGTTATAGATAATGTGTGGAACATTAGAAAGAGAGACTAACCATGAAACCTCCCACAAACCACTGAGAGATACAGTTTTTCATGCATATGACTTTCCCTAAAATTAGAAAGCTCAGAATGTTGACTTTAATGTAAACAGATTTCATGTATGTTAGTTAGCCTCTCAAAAGTTAAAATATGCCAAAACCTGTTGATAGACATTATGTCCTTGTTCACCATGAGTGGCCAGGAAATCTATGTAAAAAAAATGAGCACATGAATGCTTTTGCAGAGTAGGTGAAAGCTCCTCCCTGATGGATGATAGTCTTGAAAAGTAAATCTACACCCCAGTAATCTATGAGAGTATGTGTGGAAGGCTCCATTAGCAACTGAAAGATAATACCAAACTTCTTCTTCTTTGCTTGTTGTGCTGATCTGTTTGAGGCCTTCATTAGTACTGTCCCTTCTCTTAGTATTTAAGGAAGAAGAATGCAGAACTAGATGAGATATATCGAGATGCCAAAGTGCCTAAGCCTGCATACTGGTGAGTTGGACCTTTGTGTGCATTTTGGCAATGGGTGTTTCTACTCTGAATTCATCATTAATTCACTGTCAGCAAGAATTCCTTGTGGTCTCTGAAACCTGAATGATTACAATAGTTACAACTGTTTGTTTGGTGGCTTTTCAGTTACAACTTCACTGAAAAAAGTGAGTTACGACTTACATTTTCATACTTACAACCATTTCCCATAGTCAAATGATAAAAATTTGGGTGCTTGGCAACTCTCATGTATTTTTAATGATTGCAATGTTGTGCAATTTCTATTGACAGCCTTCACTTCCAACAAGTCAATGAGAGAAGCCTGATTCTCTTAATGTGTGCGTGATTCACTTAACTGCAGTGATTCACTTAATAACCTTGGCAGAAAAGGTCATAAAATTGGACATGACTCACTTAATCTCCTTGCTTAGCAACAGAAATTCTGGTCCCAACTGCGGTCAAAAGTCAAGGACTGAATTATAGTAATGGATAGCTGGCTACTTCAGCTTGTGACAAGATAGTGTGGAGTGGAACAAACTGAAATGGTTTTTCATTCATAATGCCACTCTGATATATCTTTTGCTTTTAAGCTAATATGAAAAATTTTGCCATAACCATTGTCTTGGGTTCTCATTTGGGTATATGTATACTTCCCAGTTAGAGTCCTCAACTCCATATTTTTGCAATCTAGGTTCCACTTCAGGAGAAGCTACAAACATTTATAATTATGTCAAATGAACATAGTTTATTTATATTTCTTTTTTCATAATTTTTTGCTAGCCATAAGAGGACTATAAAAACAAATTCCAATTTATTCTAATTCATATTTAAGCACAGCACTCACTCTCATATCTTTCAAGTATCTTTTTCACCACAGGGATCAGAAAACTGTTTTATTTCAAAAATAGAAACTTGAGGCTAATAGATGACTGAGTTCTAGGCTTAATGCAATATTCTGTGTTCAACAGCACAGTTATTCTTGAATAGATAGAAAAATTTTCTCTCGGGTTCATTGTTTTCATTGACAAGTGTTTTTGTGAGCCATGCCTCTATTTCTGGGTTAATAGTGAGTGAGAACATCAAATTGCCATGGCTTGCTTTTATTAAGTTATGACTGACTATCTTATCAGGCTTGTCCCTTTATGGCAAATGGACAATCTGCTGACTGCATGCAGCCTTTGGACTTTTTTTTAATGCTTCTCCCTCCCTTTTCATTCTTTTCCTTGCTACTCTTGCTATTATAATTACACTGAGTAAGAGACTACAAAATATTTTTCTTAGGATTGCCAAAAGTAATGCTTGTCCAGAAATCCTGAGTAAGATGGCCATTTTCTCCCTGTTTATGTCCCATCCCTTGGCCCATCTCTATTAAAAGGAGATAGGTCTTCCCTATTTGAACAGAGGAAGCCTTTGTGGGCATCTTCATTTGGCTCTTAACTCATTGTCTTATTGGATGTGATCTTCTGGTCTGAATAGTTCAACCTATTCTGGACTTGTAGCTTGCAGATCAGTCTAACTTTTATTGTCAAACAACTTGCTGTGGTCCTCTTTCTTCCAGGGGAGGCTATGTCTTAAAGCCAGAAGTCATAGAGTTCTGGCAGGGCCAGACCAACCGTTTGCATGACCGCATCGTCTTCCGACATCTCCAGGACAGCGGCACATCCTTGGACCCTATGACTCACAGAGGGGAGGGCAACTGGGTATATGAGAGACTCTCTCCTTAAAACAGCTTGCAGGATTTGTCTTTAAATATACACGGCAACATCTCTGATCCCAACCCTCCCCTGAGACAGAGCAGATGAAGAACCAAGAGGATAAAATCCTGGATCTGCAGTAAGAAGACCTGGATTCAGATTTCTGCCAACCATAAGTAACTTTGGGCTAGTCCTTAACTATCCATCTATTTCATGTCACAGTTTTTGTGAGGACAAATTTAGAGTTTCTTCAGTGCAGACTCTCCTGAGGTCATGTAAGAATGGAGGAATCTTAATGAAAAGGATTGAACTCTCAACAATCATCCCCCCCCCCGCCCCCCGAAAAAAAAAATACTTTCCAGAGATGGGTAGTAGTACTGGTGGGTGAACATAACAGTGTTCTGGATCCTGGCTGGTCCAGAACAAACAGAGTAGCCTAGTTTTGTAGTTTATGTTTTGCAGTTAAATCTATATAAATCTGCATTCAGTTGTAATAGATAAACTGGATTTGGTTTTCAAAAACATCATTACATTATCTAGGACAGAGGTCCCCAACCTTTTGGGCACCAGGGACCAGTTCCGTGAAGAAAGGTTTTTCCACGGACTGGAGGGTTCGTGGTTTTGTGTGCTGCCTGTATCCCATGGATGGGGCTTTGTTTGTTTGTGTGGACTGGTTGCTGGCATGCTGTGGCCCGCTACCAGTCCATGGACTGGGGATTTGGGACCCCTGATCTAGGATATTAAAAGCCTTCTGTACTAGAGAGGCAGTTTGATGCAGTGGTTAAAGTGGTTTCTGAGCCAGAAACTAGGAGAAACCAATGGGTGACTTGGTGCTAGTCACACTCAGTCCTAGGAAGAAAGCAGTGGAAAACCATATCTGAAAATGTTGCCAATAAAAATGCATAGACTTGTCCAGGCAATCCCTGGAAGTCAGGATTGACTGGAAGGTGTTAAAAGAAAAAAAAATCAATTCTAAAGCACCTGCACATAATATGCCTTTTGACTCAACCCAGCAGTTAAGGTGCATTGCAAGCAATATGGACTCTGGGCCATGATTATAACTAATGGAAAAACAAGATCAGATTATTAGTGTCAAATGCAGCAATTGGCATTTATAAAATAAACAAGACTACAATAAGCTGTAGTACAATAAGATATAAGAATATCCGGGGTGGGAAAAGCAACTGAAAGGTCGGTGTTTTTGCTGCTGAACTTTCACTGCCTATGTTTTTAAACTTTTCAACCTGTAAAACTTTTCAATCTTTCTCACTAGAATTGCTGAAGATAGATCACAGTTTCATACCACTCTGAATTAAGAAATACAACACACACACACACACACACACACACACACACACACACACAGAGAGAGAGAGAGAGAGAGAGAGAGAGAGAGAGAGAGAGAGAGAGAGAGAGAGAGAGAGAGAGATAGAGAGAGAGTAATGTAAACCCTAAAATAACTATAGCATAGTTTTTAAAAAGGAAGTCTTCTCAAACCCAGAAAAAGCAGGAATTTCCAACTTTGGCAACATATGTGGCATGTTTCTGTGCGTTTTGCATCATCAGCCTGCCATCTGTAGTCTTCAGCTCTGTGGGATGTAGCTGTTGGCCACTGACAGTTTATTCACCCAACTGTGCTTTAGAACAGAGGTCCCCAACCTATGGGCCACGGCTCACTACTGGGCCGTGACCTCTTGCCCACCAAGCTACATGAGTAGCTGGGCAGTGCGTGTATGTGTGTTTCACACACACACATGCCACCGTTTCTGTGAGTGTTGTGCAGGTGATAGCACCGCCGCTAGTATCACACAGGCAATGGTGTTGCCATGAACCTTGCACAGGCGGCAGGAGTACTACGAGTGGCAGGTGGGCAGCGGTGCAACACACACAGGTGGTGACATTGCTACGAACCTTGCATGGGCAGCAGCAGCATCGCAAGAGGCAGGCGGCCTGCAGCATGAGTCTTGCGTAGGGTGGTGACATGATTTTTGTGCTGGTGGCGGCATTGCAGCGGGACGTGGCTCGAGCCTCACACAGGGCGGCAGTGTGATATTCATGCCGGTGGTAGCACCACCACAATCCTTATACAGGCTCTGGCTTTGCTGAGAGCCTCACAGGCATGCTTGCAGCCATTTGCATGGTGCGCATGCTCGCGGCCTGTTTGTGCGTGTCTGTGCATGTGTGGCCACATTCACATTTGGACATGTGTGTGTAAGGTGCCTCCCCCTCCCTCTCCCACCAGGCCTCAATCCAAAAAGGTTGGAGACCCCTGCTTTAGAAGAGAGATGCTTGCTTAAAAAATAGAGGCATTGATGGATATCCAATTCTATACTTTCTAATTGTTCCTCGGAAACAAAGAATATGCAAGGATAGATCTTGCACCTCTGCTTGCATTGTGGGAGAGGAAATCTGTCCCATCTCTCTCCATCTGCAGATACCATACAGATAGTCCTCGACTTACAACTATTTAACAATGTTTCAAAGTTATGAGCCTTAGAAAAAAAATGACTCATGATCTATACTTGCACTTAACTACCATCACACCATCCCCAAGTCAAATAATTGCAATTCAGAATCTTAGCAACCAACTCATATTTAAGACTGGTTGCAGCATCCTGGGGTCACATGATTGCAATTTGTGCTCCCCCCCCCAAAGTTCTGGCAAAAACGTCCATTGGAGAAGCTGGATTCTCTTAGTGACTGCTGAAAAAAATTATTGTAAAATTGGATCCTACTTGACCTACCTCCACAATGACTTACAACAAAAATTCCTGCCCCAAGTATGGTTGTATGTTGAGGATTACTTGTGTTGCCTCACTCAGAATGCTTTCCAAGAGTTTTTCAGTAATGTTGGAAGTTACAACAAGAAAGGTGGGGGCTGGAAAGCTTCATTTTCTGAACAATTGTGTTCAATTGCATAGGAAGAATTAAAATCACAATTACTGAGTCTAGCTTGCACTAATAGTTAAAAAGGAAACCTGATTTTGTCTCTTGATGCATTGTCCACTATAATAAGCACCATGTATGCTTTTGTTTTCAGAAATGTGATTCTTTTATCCTAGAACTGGATGTGCAAGTTCTACATCAGCAAGCAGTTATTGTGGATTAGACACAGGGGGTTGTGTGCACTTTGTGTTAATGTTATTTGTAAAAAAAATATTTAAGTGGTGTTATTACATTAATAATTGTTGTTCTGTCTGACTGACCTATCTTTGTGCTCTTATGTACTTAATTGATTTTGTGACTATGTACATTTGGACAATAAAAGTTAGTGAATGATAGTTGAAGGTGAGCATAGTTTAATATTAACTTTGTCCTGTTTTATTGCTTTCTTAATTTTCTCAGTACAGAAAGATGAATCTTCTGTATTTCATATGCTCTAAGATAGATCTGGACATTTTATGGCCCATGGGTCACATCTGGCCCTTTAACTGAAGCAGGGGAGGCAGCAGCAGCTTTCCACAACCCATTTCTCATGCGGTCCTTTGAGAAAATTAATTGCCTACCTCTGCTCTAGGACCTTATATCAACCAGACTCCAAAATAAAACTCAGCTGGATCAGCTGCTATTAACAATCTTTTTTTGTTTGTTTGTTTCACCCCTTATAATAGAGCAAGGTTTCTAAACCTTGGAATCTTAAAGATGTGTGGACTTCAACTTCCAGAATTCTCCATCCAGCATAAAAGAGCATAAGATACATACTTTTGGATATTCTAAAAACATTTGCCTTTCTTACCTTTTTAACTAGTATCATTTTCACATAACTTTCTCCAGAGAAAGGCTCAGAGGTAAGGTATGGGGGGGTGTCCCATATCTGTAGAATGCCCCAAATTTTGGATGAAATCCAATCCCAGGTTTCTTCCAAGAAAATAAGACATAGAGGCTGGTGATACTAATGCAGAATTCTGGAGAAATGCTGCCACTAAGAATAAGACAATATTGGAACATGTTTTACCTGATATAAGCAAGCTACTTACATTCTAAAGAGACCTATCTATTCATCTATCTACTAAGGAGCGGTCTCAGAATCTCGGCAGCATAATAGTTCCAAAATGTCAGGCAGCTGGCAGAGGTTACCAGTTCCAACTCCTGGAGGATGCAGCCACCTCTCCCACAATTATGGAAACCCATTTGGCGAAGTACAGTATGAAAGGCAAAAATCAAGTTGTTACTTCCAGCTCTTTAAACTGTTTTCTAAGATACACACACCTCTAGAATTTGGAATTTGGAACCTGAGAAAGGCAAAAGGATGGAACAACTGCAATGCTTTTTGTGTTTTTACAGAATGTTCTGAAATCGAGATCCGAAAAGAAAAATACAGAAAATGGTTATTTTAATAACATCTTCCTTAGACAGAAGAGTAAAAGAGTGCTTTAAATTTGGTTTCCACCAGGAGGCGTTAGAAGGAGATGTCTAGTACAGTTCAAGTATCGGTTCTCTTGGGTTGCATCCCAGTGAAACTGTAGCTGTGATAACCTTTTGCCCTTGCTGATCTTCTGGAATGTATTTGCCTTCTCAGTCACTGCTCTTTTGTTTTCTAATCATGAATCAGGATCTCTTGCATTTAAGTGAATGTTGGGATTCCCTAAAGCCCAGGTGAGTCCCCTGCTTTGTGAAATGTTCCCTGGATACCCACTTTCCTCATTTAGCCTCTGGCGTTGACTCATTACCATGCCTGAAACTTGCAAGTCAGTCGTGTATTCATAGTAATGATGGAAACTCTGCCTCTGCCCATGTGCAGAACAACTAAGCAGCTGAGCAATTGGAAGCAGTTCTCACTTCATTATATATTGGGGTTTGCAAAAGAGGCTCCAGTTTGGGAAGTAACTGTATGGCTTCCAAGTTATATTGATTTTAGAAAGGAACATATTGGCTGTACTCTGACAGGAACACAAACAAGCCAATCACTTGTTAGTCTAGCTGTGCAAATGCTGCCTGTGGAGTTGGTTTGTGTTTTACAGAGGGGTGTGAACTTGAGTCATTTGCTGTGATGCCAGCTTTTCCATAGGTCAACATTTTTTCTTGAACTAAGCTCAGTGGGGAATCTTTTTCAGGCTTGAGTTCCTCAAATTTGGGCTACAACAATTTTTTTTTGTCTTTGCCCAGCACTGCCAAGCAATTAGGGGATTGTCATAATGGGAAGAGATATTGCCTTCCCCAATCTGGTGACCTTCAACTTCGCATTTTGAAAGTTGTAGTTCTTCCATATCAGTATTCTGTCTCAAAAGCCTTTAAGAGATGTGGACTTCAACTCCCAGAATTCCCCAGCCAAACTGCCTCCCCCTATCTCCATCTTGAAAATTTTGAGAACTGTGGTTCCTCACTCAGTGGAACAATCTGCCTCCAGAAGTTGTGAATGCTCCAACACTGGAAGTGTCTTGTCTATCAGAACCTTGACAGGAAGTTTTTAAGAAGAGACTGGACAGCCATTTGTCTGAAATGGTATAGGGTTTCCTGCCTGAGCAGGGGGTTGGACTATATGACCTTCAAGGTCCCTTCCAACCTGGGTGGATAATATATCATGTTTATCAATCTCAGAAACTTTAAGAATAGAATGATATTTAGTTTATTCAAGAAAAGTTGAAATACAGAAGCCCAAAGCATTAAAAAAGACAGAAAAAACACAACAAACATTTAAAAAGAGCCTTAAAAAAAGATCAACATATGCATATAACATCCTCCCTAACTGAATGTTGATTAATATAATACAACGATGTTAATCCATCCATTACAAAACAGGCCAAAACTACTCAACTACTAAATCTGTTTAAAAATTGTTAGCCTGTCATTTATATATCAATAACAAAATAGTTAACAGTAAAAGCAATAGTAATAAGAATATATAGAAATATAAAAGTAATAAAGATTATCAGTAATAATGAAAAAAAACAAAATTAAAATTCCAAAACTCTCTGTTAACAAACTGCCAATATAATCAACTCATAGAAAATTTACCATGTCTTCAATCCAAAATCATCCCTCCAAAATTAAACCCAATTGGTCCTGGATCAAATACTCATATTTCTTAATGCTATCTCTTATTAATTGCTGATTGATCAAATACAATAAAGCCAATATGTCTTCCCCAAAAAACCCAGATGAGATTTTTTCCCCACTTAAATGTAATAGATTTCTCTGCTCTCTTTCAAACCCCTTAAATTTAAGGCTTAAAAAGACCTATTTATCACTTATCCACCCAAATCTCAGAGTCCTTAGATGTGTGGACTTCAACTCCCAGAATGGCTAACAAGAAGATGAAGTCCATACCTCTGCTATATACCAAGGGAGTGCTACTTTGGAAAGAAAGATTTCAGTTATGGGGTTGGGAGATGGTACCACATTTTAGGTAGGAATGTAGACTAATTGAATGGCTCTTTAAACTGGATGTTTAACTGTTGTCAAGGCAAAAACATCTGAAGTTAGCAGCGTTGACATCGGATTCTGTAACTTGGGGTATTTAATGCTTCCCCCCCCTCTTCTTGATAGTTTGATGGGATTAGATGCAATTCAGAAGAAAAAGCAATCTTTAAAGGCCCAACTAATGACTTTCAGCCCTATTGTCATGAAATTTGACAGATTTTTAAAAATCTCATTTTAATGGGGGGAAATCTTTTTCTAATTTATGCTAGCTAGAAATTCAGTCTCTTGGATCTGACCATAGGATTCTTCATCACAAACTTCTGCTTAACATGACAACTTTGGAGTGAAACTAACCTTTACAAGATTAGGTTTAAATTGTAAAATCACAGTTAAAAAAACAGTGACATGTGGTATAAAGATCACATTTGCCCTTGAGTTATTGTGTCCCTGTGTAATTGGATCTGTGAAGCAGAAACACAGGTGGCATTTTATATCTGAGTGGGAGATTTGTAATCAGGTCAGGTGCCTTGAATATAAATGACTGAAAGGCTCTTCACAATTCAAAAATGAAGAAATAAAAAAGATAATTAAAGAATATTAATGAAAAACTGTATGATATAGAAGAAATTTCTGAGAGAAAAGGATTCAATATATGGAAAAAATAATTTACCAAAAAACTTCAAAACTATGTTAAATGAAAAAATAACAATGATGAAATTGACAAAGGCTATAAGAAGACAAAATAATAATAATAAAAAAAAACACCAGGAGCAGAGTTGTATAAATGTCTATAAGATACATTAAGTGTAATGAACTTTTGTTGGAGGCTAAACTCCCAAATACATGGACAGAAGCAAATATTACTTTGATACCAAAAGAGGACTGAGATCTGACACAGATAAAAAATTGTAGACTGATATCATTACTAAATGCAGACTATAAAATCTTTACTTTAATAATAGCGGAGAGACTGAGAAGATTTCTAACTGAATTTATATATCCAGATTAAAATGGATTTCTACCAAAGGGACAAATAAAAAATAATTTAAGTGTTATAACGGACATACAGGGAAACAACTGGCACTAGTATTTCTAGATGCTCAAAAGACATTTGATAATGTTTCCTGGCAATTTATGACTCAACAATTAAAAACAATAGACTTTGGATAAAATTTTATAAATATGATTGAAATATATATCACAAACAAACAGCAAAAGTGATTGTAAATGGAGATTCTACAGAGAACTTTGATATAAGAAAAGGCACAAGTCAAGGATGTCCACTTTCTCCATTGTTACTTATTTTAACTTTGGAAGACCCAGTAATTAAAGGACTAGAAATAAAAGGTGAAACTTATAAATTACAAGCATTTGCAGATGACTTGGTATTCATCCGGGCGGAACCTTTAGAGATGATTCCTAAATTATTGGAAAAGATAGAACAGTTAAATACCTGAGAATATACCTGACAGCAAGATATTCAATGATAAAAGAAGATAACTATATAAAAGTAATGAATCAAATAAAACTTGACTTGGAAAGATGGAAAACTTGCAACTGTTAATGCTAGGAAAAATTGTTATGGTGAAAATGAATATATTACCCCAAAATATTGTTTTTATTCCAAATTATACCTATAAAACTAGAGATATTTTTTGAAGACTTAAATTCCCTAATTTTGAAATTTATTTGGCAAGGAAAAAAAGCTAGAATTAAATTGAAAATGTTACCAGAAGCTAAGGAAAAATGAGGTTTTGGCCTGCCAGAGTGGGTTTTATATTATCAAGCATCAGTATTAACATGGGTAAAAAAATGGATAACTCTTAGAAATAAAAGGTTGTTGTATTTGGAGGGACATGACTTGCAACTTGGTTGGCATGCTTTCTAATGGTGTGGGAAAAATAAAATTCATAAATATTTTCAAAACCACTATATTAGAAATGCACTATTACTAACAGGGGGAAAAATAAAATGTAAAATATACTTGAAAATTCCAGGATGGCTTTCAACAATAGAAGCATTTGTACATCCAAATTTAATTAGTTTTGAAAAAATATGGACATATAAAGATATTCTAAATTCTGAAGGAAATTTAAAATCTAAACAAGAGATGGAAAATCAGGGTATTGATTTATCATGGTGGGCATATTTACAAATGCAAGTGAGATATGATAAAGATGTTAAACTGTATGGATTTTACAAAGAGCAGACCTTG